TTTGGGCCTTGTGTAATGTGAATTTTTAATACTTGCATGTGGACGTAGCTTAGAAAGTGCTAGTGCTTTTTTACTTCGCTTGTCTAGTTCACCTACTCTTTTCACTGCTCGACTTCTGGTCTGGCTTCTTCGTGTTTGACGTAACTTCAAAAATAGAACAGAAAGAAAAAAAAAAAAAAAAAAAAAAAAGAAAGGAAAAAGAGAAAAAGCAGGAGACTATGTCAGACACAAACCTCTCGAAGAACGACCTAGAAGAAATTTGCCGTGGTCTTGGAATCTCAACAGAAGGGACTAAGGCTGACCTAATACAAAAAATAAGGGGGTTTTCCTATGAACGTGCTGAGAAACAGAAAAAGACGTCCTATGAAGATACCGTGTCAATATGTTCGGAATACCCAACTGAAGAAAATGAGGTACACGAACTTGACCCCCAAATAAAAACGTTAAGAGAAATGGTTCAAAAATCAAGAGAGAAAACCAAGATCTTACCATCAAGAATAGATACCCAAGATGAAGAAGGGCAAAGTTCCCAACACCAAATGATGGAGGATACGTACGAAATGCCAAGAAAATCAAACAAACGCCGATATCAAAACGACGATGACAATGAAGGCCCAGGTGCCTTAGAACACAAGATGCTATTGGAGTTTAAAAAATTGGAGACTGCAATCCTAGGATTTAATGATAGGTTAAACTCGGTGTCCGCCCAGATACAAGATACCCGCCAAAGGGTAGAAATAAATGATGCCTGGCCAATTCACAAATTTGAAAGATTCCGGGACCAGCACGAGTATGACACATTACGCCTGATGGGAAAAGAACTTGATCTAGCTGTAGAATCAAGAAATGTAAACGATGCCGTAAACCATATAGATAGCGCCCGGGAAAAAATTGCAAATAGAATGTTTACACTGCGGGTAGCTGAAGGATATGGATGGGAAATTGCATCTGCTCTACCCGACACACAAGATGAGTGGCTAAAAGGAAAGGACGATCTAATCGAAAAAGCGAAAAATCTGGCAGACGTCAAGAGAAGTAAA